TAAAAAACTAGCAAACCCGGCGAATTCCGTTTCGCTACTAGATGGCTTCGTTTTATGTAGGTAACATTTCGTTTGGTGATTAAAAATAAATTTTCTTTGTTATACCTCTACACCTCACGGAGCCCGAGACCTTTCCAACGAATGAAAACCGTGGAAATCGGTTCGTGCGTTCTGGAGTTATAGCGTCAGGAAGGAAAAAGCGACTTATTTTTATATAGTATATTAAAGCACATTCCGCGACGCATTTTACGGCCGCGGCGGTTGCGATTGTTGGCGGGCGCGGCTGCGCTCCCCAACCGCGGCGGTTTGCACCCGCGTGATCGCAATGGGAGGTCCAGTCTGGACCTCAATTACTCAACTGATTGTTTAACCGATATCTTACGATAATCAGCTGCCAAATTTCCGGATGACAATCGCAACAGCGGCGGATAAGTTACCGCAGAAAAATGCGGTCTCGTGTATTAAAAACTAGCTTCTGCCCGCGACTTCGTACGCGTAATCCCATTTTTTCCCGTCCCCGTTCGTGATTTTCGGTAAAAAGTAAAAAAAAATGGTTAAAAAGTACCCTATGTCGGTCTCCTGACTCTAAGCTACCTCCCTACCAATTTTCAGCCAAATCTATTCTGCCGTTCTTGAGTTATAAATGGTGTAACTAACACGACTTTCTTTTATATATATAGATATATAGATTAATCTCTATTTCGCCACTGCGGCAGGCACGGGCGAAAATCGCATCGTGAGTCCGTGGCATAAGAGTCTGACACTCTCTCTCGCCTCCACCAAGCCGAGAGGACTCATTTGTTGCCTTCGTAAAATAAAAGAAACGTGATCAGATACTTACTTTTTCTTATTTGCGCTCATGGTCTACATAGATTGAACCAACACACAGGATTAACTTCAAATTGGTTATTCTTAAAACGACATCTATCCTTCTTATTGAATTATTTGTTTTTCCTTGATTTTTGTAATCTGTGAACAATTACATAAACATTTATTTTATTAAATAGGTGAATAGGATGCTTATGGGACGACGTGCTCCATCGTAGACCGCGTCATCGCTTACCACCAGACGAGATAGTGGTCAAACGTCGCGCCGTCAAATATTAAAAAAATAGGTATTAGGAATCTGTAACTGCCTCGTTGCCCGAGTGGTCGCAATTGCGACTAAGGTAAAGTCGGTAAGGGGTCTCGGGTTCGATTCCCGGGTCGGGCAAAGTATGGTACTGGGTTTTAAAAAATTCTCAGTAGTAGCACGGAGTCTGGAACTGTGCCCGGTATATGGCAATAGGCTCACCCCCTATTCCATGGGACTCATAACATAAATAGTGAAAAGTGGGTGTTACATTGTATAGTGGTATAATGTGCACCTCTGCCTACCCCTTCGAGGATAAAAGGCGTGATGTTATGTATGTATGTAGAATCTGTAACGTAAAATATGGGATGGGATGAGTCATAAGGAAGTAGGCTACTGGGGCTCCTCCGGCTCGACGTAGTACCTAGTTGTAACGGTGTGGTTTTTAGTAAGAGTCTGACACTCCATTACACCTCACCCTAGGCAGAAGAAAATATTCGATGACTTTGTCTTCAAAAAAAAGCCACGTACCGTTCCCTGCCCCCCCACAGTCCTTCCCCCAATGACTACACATCGCGAGGTTGGTAGCGACCTACATACAGCGACTGTCGCAGACCTTTGTCAGGTCGTGTATCCTATATACGGAGAATACGGTAGACGTTCTATCGGTTCTGGCGTTTCTTTATTCCGCGCGCGCCTCAAGGAGCCATCAGACTACCACAGATGGGGCCTAACAAGGCTGATGCCGTTACGGAGCCGCGGAAGACTTAACGGGTTGCCGGGGCTCCGGTTCGAAGTGCAGGTGTAGGAACGGGGTGGTTTTTAATCAGTAAGAGTCTGACACTCCCTTCCGCCTCACCCAGGCGGGAGAAGTCATTGGATGATTTTCCCCCCGCAAAAAAAAAAAAAAAAGGCTGGTTTCAGTGTCGCGCTGACCCCACGCTGACCGCCGGCGCTGACAGCTGCGAAATGTGAACTTCTGGGAGCCGTGCGCGGTGATAGCCACGCGTCATTCAAAAACGCTACCTAGACGTTACTACATCTCGGCTGACGGCGCTAACGGTCAGCACGCGGTCAGCGCGACACTACAAGCAGCCTTAATCCGACAACAGAGGTCTTAGTACGAGTTTAATTTACGTTTGAAGTATTCGTAACGAGTACGCGTTCGGCGCTCTGATTGGTTGCTTCATTGGCGCCGGCCAATCAGAATGCCGAACGCGTACTCGTTTCTACTATAGACGTAAATCAAACTTGTGCGAAGGCGTCAGGAATTAAAACAATTTTCAAATTAACATTCTATGGAATCCCAAACGAATTATTTGTTTTAAGATTATCGAAAGGACGAAGTCTGCTTAAAAAGTGTACCTTAATTATACACCGTTAAATTTAAAACGTTTTAATCCCTTGGAGGTTCAAACTGGTCCATGAAACACTATCGATTTGAAAAGACAAAATTAAAAAATAAAGTACTTTTTTTTAATAACTCGAATCAATTCTCGCATGATTGAATAAAATAATGCGAACCCTTAGTACAGTTATGTCGGTCCTAAGCCCGTAACAGTGTGAAGGAAAATTTGGAATCAATTTATTTGTTTAAGTACCTACGCAAACATCAGTTGATCGAGTCAGTAACCTTATGCTCGAACGACCGACGACGACGTAGGTAACTATCTCGTGGCGCAACTTTTGGTTTCATACATTTTGCGAGTATAATCTAATTTATTTATTTTTTATGTTACACCGCAGTACAAGCTTGTAATGAGTAGTATTCTACTAGTTAAACCACAGGTCCATGGGATTAAAACGACTAAAATTTAAGGGTGTATAGAAGTTTACAAATCGTTCCAAAAGTTTCTGGGCCTATGTTGTGAGGACAGATAAACAAACAATAAAACCTATGATTTACAAAACGCGTAATAGAAAAAAAGCGACAAATTCTTGTAACCGTCGTCGAACCGATAGATGACATTATTTAGATAATTTTCTCATAATTTTTTCTACGAAATATATTTAAATTAGTTCTACATTTAGCTTACCTTTATACTTTTTTTTTGTTTTGTATTTTGTACCAAAAACTTACTTTTTATTCACCATCACCACATTTCTTTATTGTCGTGTCCATGGATCGACGCATATTTTTGTCTTCCTAATTTTTATGTTCGATTTTATTATTTTTTTATATTATGTGCCAAATACTTTTTTGTGACGCAAATAGTTCGTATACGTGAATGTCGTAGCAAGGTGATAAAATCAGGGATTTCGTGATGTCACTGATTTCTATATTTAAACTCAAGTTTTTTTAATGCAATGTTTTTTTTTATTTATAGATAATAAAAACATAATATAATTTTTTTAACCTCAATCAACAAGGAAAACTATTAATAAGAATGGATTTTAAATAAATATGTAGGTATGTACAACTTAAAATATAAATTGGAAAAAACTAAAATATTTGTTTACACCTTAAAAAAGTAATACTTAATAATAAAAATGCTATCCCAAGGCATCAAAAAAAAATTCCGCTCCGCTATCGTGAGGTAGGGTGCCCTAAAAGACTGGCAGCATTACCACGTTGAATGGTAATGCTTTGCTGGCTACTACCTTTGCCCAAGGTAGTAGCCAGCCCTCCGATCACCTGAAGTGTCAATTATCCTCCTTACAATTTCTTTGTAACGAAGATGTGCACTTGGGCCCCACGTCCCTAAAGTTTCAACCACAAACGGTTCGAAAGCATAATTGCCAATCAGGCTATTATACTTTCGCCGTTTGAGGTTCTCGGCAGCAGCAGCGACAGTACTGGCTCGACACGCTGAGTTTGGAAGATGGGATTGCGCCAGAGTATCAATGCAAGTGGCGTCCCGTACTAAAGGCCTACCCTCTTGCCATCGTTTGCGTACCTAGCCATTATTTAGGTTCTAAAGTATAAATACTAACTATTACTAAATATGTATATACAACTTAAATTCGAGTTGGATTGGCTTTTAATATTTTCAAAGAAATTGTCTTTCAAAAAGACTTGTGGGCTCGAAATATATTAAAGAGACTTGAGATATTTTTATTTATTTCCTAGTACCTACATAGGAACTAACCGAAGTAATTTCATAATGAAATTTTTTTTATTATATTATATTTGATGGGCCGATGATTACCATTATCTCGCCTAATATAAAAAAAGGTATTTGAAGTGAAAGAGGTGTGAAGTAAGTATCGGTAAGAATCGTAGCAATTGACGATTCATAGCCTAACCCCATAGGAGACAAGTGTAAAGTTATGTACGTATGTATAATTTAATTGTGTAAGTTTTGCCGGGATTTCGTGAAAATCCTAAATCCGTCATTTCCTGCGACATGTATTTTTTTCATAAAGTTGTAAGTAACGTTGTATTCTTGTTGTGTTACATTAGTAGTCATATATCAATTCTTCCTTTATTAATTATTTTAGTTCATAAAATATTTAAAGTGGAAAATAACTTTGATCAATAACGAAACGTAAAATCACCTGACCTTCATTCATAAATTTAATGTTGCCAAAATTGAAATTTTACGAACAAAAGTGGTACAATATTTGGATTTCGAACAAAAATGTCGTTGTTTGTTGTTTTTATATAACGAATTATTTAAGCAGTTTTGCAAATTCTTGTAATAAGAACAAAAGTTATGGGTATGTGTAAGTACATTCAAGCAAAGAAAATCAGTTCGCTTTTTACCGACACCCTAAATAGTATAGTAATAAAAAAGCTAGAGTGTCACTAATAAAGTGCTATTAAAAATTTAATGTATACCAACCAAAATAAAGTTAATAGTTTTAATAAGAGACAAAATAAACCAATAACGTCAAATCATGGTTTTCGTTCTATATCTAATCGGGTAATTAATTAATTTTATTTAAGTAATAGTTAGTTATAATCGGGTTAATTTAGTTTTCAATAAATAGCAACACTGTGACTTACCTGTCATGCGCTTCATTCATAGAGCAAAGAAAAGAAATTCCTAAAACGCATGACAGTTTGACAGCACTGTGACAAAAATATAATAAGAACGTGATATTTTAATTGTAAATAATCTTTTAATTAACAAATTAAACATGTCGGATAACAAGGAAGTTGATAAATCTAATGTCGACCCGGAATTGGACGATTTGCTTGAAAGTAAGTTGATTTATTTTCGTAAATAATAATTCATGGTTGTATTACACAACGCATAACCTGGGTTTCGTATAAGAATGTAAATAAAATTGTATTAATTGCCTTCAAGGACGAGACGGAATATTAACTATGCGTGTTGCATGTTCGTTTTATTACTAGGCCTTTATTAATGTGCGATTAGAAATTTATTGCTGACGAAATTGACACTAGAATTATTTTAAGACTGGTAGAAAAATATTATTTCCTCGATAACTGCCGTGATTTTTATAGCTATTTTTACACTTTTGTGTCGCATGATTGAATTTAAATTGATATAGAAGTTGTTTGAATTCCAAATTGTAAATGATAAGATAAAAATTCTAAATTTATTTATTTAATCTTATATATTCTATATTAAATGACTTGTAAACCAGTAATTATACTCCAACATGAAAGATTATTTAGACAGCACTGACATACAACGAAAAAGAAAACATTGAAGGAAACCTGGACTTATAATTACTAATTGTAAGTTTGAAATCACTAACCCGTATTGAGTAATGTGATGATTGATACTCAAACTTTCTTTAAATTCCAATAGTAGGTAATTTAATACATAATTTAATACTTTAATTCTAATGTAGACAATCTAGTTTCCTTATGGCATCGAGCATTTCTTTCTTTATTGTAACAAAGAGTTTCCTTTTTCTTGTATAGAAGCAGTATTAAAGCAATATTGAGTACCATGTTAGACTATAAGTTTTTTTATATTTTATTTTAGTAAGATATTAGTATAATGTGTCAAGCATGTCTTTGCATTGTTCTTACATATCCGTACAGTATTGAAATATGTATCAGAGGCATTGTAGAACATACTTTTTTAAAAAGAGTAACAAATGGAGTTTCTTGCTCGTTCTTCTCCATTCGAATCTACATTTTGGAATGAGCACCTAGCTTCATCTAGTTTCACTGATGGACTGACTGACAGACTATTATTTATTTTGTATTTGTTGACGTTTCAAAAGTACTAAACTATGGTTTAATTGAAATAAATGCTTTGACTGACTTTGACTCCATGTAAGAAGAGGCTTTTGCTTAGTAATAGATTCTAATCGACTGAAATGTAATGTGGTGTGTGACATGAAATGTCAACACAGTTAATCAGCGATGATGTATTAACGAGTAGTATGCCAGAATGCAAATCTACATGAGACACAATATATTTATCTATTGTGTCTCAGAAACTGGCATTCAAGAGCTTATTTTGAATTCTAGCATGGCTTGAAACTAGTTGAGTTTCTTGTCAAATAATTACTTGAGTAAGCTGAAAAAAAATTATAATTAATTTTGTATGTCACACGATAGTTACAAGATAAAAATTCTTCCATACATGACTGCCTCGTTGGCCGAGTGGTTGCAGAGTGGTTGCAAGTGCGACTGCCAGGCAAGGGGTCTCTGGTTCCATTCCCGGGTCAGGCAAAGTATTACTGGATTTTTAAAAAATAATCTCAGTAGTAGCAGAGTCTGGAATTGTGCCCGGTATATGGCAATAGGGTCACCCCTTATTACATGGGACTCATAACATAAATAGTGAAAAGTGGGTGTTACTTCTGTGTGCACCTCTGCCTTTCACCCCTTCAAGGATAAAAGGTGTGATGTTATGTCTTCCATACTAATAATTGTCAATTGTAAATTTTATTCTTCAGTTGAGAATTTGTTCATTGGAAAATAGGTCATTATTGGAATAATAAATATACTTATTGGAATAACATTGACTTGGAGAATAATAAAGACTATAAACTCTGTTGTTACCTTCAAGAATGAAGAGATTTGATGTTAAGTTAAGAACATAAAAAATATTGCCTGCGTCATTGGCCGAGTGGTTGCAAGTGCGATTGCCGGGCAAGGGGTCTCAGGTTTGATTCCAGGGTCGAGTGAAATATTGCTAGGTTTATTTAAATAAATCTTAGTAGAAGCACGGAGTCTAGAATTGATCCCGGTATATGGTAATACGCTCACCCCCTACATACTTACATGGGTCTCATAACATAAATAGTAAAAAGTGGGTGTTACATTGTACAGTGGCTTAAGTACACCACTGCCTACTCCTTCGGGGATATAAAGCGTGATGTTATGTTATGATGTTAAATTAATACTAGAGTTTTGTGTGTCTGTCTGTATGTTTGTTACTCAATCACGTCAAAATAATTAGACCTCTGGTAACCTCACTCACACGACAAAACACAACGCAAGCGTTGCTTCACGTCTGTTTTCTGTGAGGCCGTGGTATCACGTGGTACCTTGCGGATGTCATCACTCCACCTAGCTGGAGGACGCCCTATACTACTATTTGTCTAGGCTACTATTTGTCCTACCCTAATGCTAGCAGAAGCTTGTTCTTCAATATAACAAGTTATAGTCATGTTAACATTGATTAACAACGACCTTTGGACCATTCCTACAATTGTGTGAATTATACATTTAAATACATGCAGCATTGAATACCTACATTTTTTATTCAGTCAGAGGTCATTCATTATGTTAATGGTATTTATGTCATTTGAAATAAAAATGTTTTTAAATTCCTATTAAAATGAAATAAATCAATTATAAACGTAATGTTGAACTAATGCAAGATGTTTTGTGGTTTGTGTAGAAAAAAACTTATTATAGGTACTACTTTTAATTATACCGCAATAACTGAACTTGAAAATAACATCACCATTTTTAATCTTTGATGGGATAGGCTAAGTTACTATTAATTATAATAAAAATGGTATGAAATACCGACTCCTTGACAACAGACTTATTTCTAAGAAAATATATTTTTTCTTTTTTTTATGAGATAAGCCGGTAAACGAGCAGACAGATCACCTGATGGTAAGCAATCGGCGTCGCCCGTGGACACTCGAAACACCAGAGCCGTTACAAGTGCGTTACCGGCCTTTTAGGAATCAGGAGTTTGAGGATTGTGGGGGATTCGGGGATTGGGGAGTCTCGGGAAGGGGGTAATTGGGCCTCCGGTAACCTCACTCACACGACGTAACACAACGCAAGCGTTGTTTCACGTCTGTTTTCTGCTCGGCCGTGGTATCACTCCGGTGGAGCCGGCACATTCATGCCGAAGCATGGCTCTCCCACACTTAAAGAGAATCCTATATCAAAAATTATCTACATTTATATAATATTGTAAAAACAATGAAAGTGTGATTTTTCTTATTGAAACATCGAAATATGTAATTTGTATTGCACTGAGTAAAATAATTCACCATTATTGTTTAGAAATGTTTAGCACTATTCTAATAAGACATTTATCGAGTAATCAATCTTTCATTTCTGATAATTAGACCCACTTATTATAGAATACTGAAACGTTACTCAATTTTAAGTCGTGCTCAAATATCGCGCCATCTCTGTCATTTTACAAAGAATTTGTAGAGATAGAACTATACTTAAGCACGACTTAAAATTGAGTAGCGTTTCAGTATTCCGACATTACTTAATTGTCAATGTATGTTTCAGGTGCTCTCCAAGACATGACGAAGAAGCCAGCCGGCACCGTGGCCGAGGGCTCCAGCGAGGTCCCATCGAACATGTGGAGCGAGGAATTCATCAAAGAGGCAGCAGCACAGTTTGAAAGCAACATGTCTGCTATACTTAGCAGTTTTAGTGGCGTACCAGGTAAGAAATAAAAATAAAAAACTGCATTTAAAAAAGCTGACTTCAAAAACATAAACAATCGAAAAGTAAAAGCTAAAAAGCCAATACGTAAATTAATACATAATTTAACACTTTAATTCTAATGTAGACAATCTAGTTTCCTTATGGCATCGAGCATTTCTTTATTGAAACAAAGAGTTTCCTTTTTCTTGTATAGAAGCAATAATTCTATGGATTGTCACTATTGTCAGTATGCATATGTGAGCACCATGTTGGACTTTAAGATTTTTATTTATTTTTTTAAATTTTAGTAAGTTATTAGTATAATGCGTCAAGCGTGTCTTTGCATTGTTCTTACATATGCGTACAGTATTGAAAATGTATCAGAGACATTGTAGAACATACTTTTTTAAAAAGAGTGTCGAATGGAGTTTCTTACTCGTTCTTCTCCATTCGAATCTACTTTTTGGAATGAGCACCTAGCTTCACCTAGTTTCACTGACGGACTGACTGACAGACTATTATTTATTTTGAATTTGTTGACGTTTCAAAAGTACCAAACTATGGTTTAATTTAAATAAATGCTTTGACTTTGACAAAAAATAACTATTATTGGTCATACGTACTTACATATAGCTTACACAACCACTGATAGGTGAGAAGTCGGTGCCTAATCTAGTGGTTTTAAATACTTAACGAAAAAATTTACAAATGCACTAGTCGCCCCTATAATTTTTAAAAGTTCCCCTCGGTTTCCCTGGGATTCCATCATCAGATCCTGACTTCATGACAATGGGACGAAATGACAAACCTACCCTTTCAAACAAAAAAAGAATTTTTGAAATCGGTCTTCGAGAAATCGAGTAACAAACATAAAAAAAATACTGTCGAATTGAGGACCTCCTCCTTTTTTTTGAAGTCGGTTGAATAGACTTCATTAGTATTATTTTATGGTATACTAGCGACCTGCCCCGGCTTCGCACGGGTGCAATATGCATATATTATACTCATAAAACTTCCTTAAGAATCACTCTTATCTATAAAACAAAACCGCATCAAAATCCGTTGCGTAGTTTTAAAGATCTAAGCATACATAGGGACAGACAGACGGCGGATAGCGACTTTGTTTTACTATGTAGTGATGTAAAATATGATGAGACAAAATACAAAACTGTATAAAACTGTCATGGCGTAGGCGTCTACAGAATTGGGACGATGACAAATATAAAAATTAAAAATCTAATTAGTCCGTAAGTTAGGTAATGAAAAAATATTAGACACGTATTTTTTATTTTGTCGTATAATAAAACAATACTTATATAAAACGCATCAAAGTTTAGCAGTGGGGACTAAAACGTCATTTCTACGTATAAAATGTACATAGAAGTGACGTCACGCAACATTTCAAATCAATATATCGTCGAAAGTATTCGTTTCTGTAAGAAAATAAAAAATAAGTGTCTAATGATTTAAAATAATCTATCAGACGGACATTACAATAAAAATTAGGCATCTACCCTATTGTGATATATATATATAAAATAAACGTGCAAAACTATTGGATATTACTTTTATTAAACATCCTTACTAATATTATAAACCTGAAAGTGAGTTTGTTTGTTTGTTTGTTTGTTCCACCTTCACGCCATAACTACTCAACCGATTGCTTTGAATTTGAATTTTGCAGACGTAAAGTTAGAAGTCCGGATTAAATAATAGGGTACTTTTTAACCCGGAAAAAATTGATATTTCCGAGGAAAAACAAAAGTATTGGTATAGATGGCGCTGTGTGTATTGGTATATGTCACATAGGCTACTTTTTATTCTTTTGTGACGCGAGCGAAGCAGCGGGTAAAAGCTAGTCCTTCATAAATACAAATGTACTATAAATCTTGCTCTTCTTGTTTTCAGAAGACCAAATAACACAGGAGCAGATAGCACAGACATTCACAAAAATGGCCGGTATGTATCTTTGTACGCATTTTCACACCATGCTCAGAGGCCTTAGTACCAGTTTCATTTACGTTTAAAGATTAAGCGTTCGGCACTCTGATTGGCCGGCGCCAATGAAGCAACCAATCAGAGCGCCGAACGCGTACTCGATACGATGACTATATTTGTATTGTGACTTTCGTGAGACATACTAAATAAATTATTATGTTTTCGGCTTACTCACGTAATTATTTGACAAGGAACTCGACTAGTTTCAAGCCATGCTAGAGGCTTAGAAGAACACAGAAGCTGTAGCAGCGCGACAGTCGCCGCGTCGCGGGTCGCGAAATGCTGCTGAATATGAGCCTCTAGCATGGCTTAAAACTAGTCGAGTTCCTCGTCACATTATTAATTGAGTAAGCCGAAAACATAATAATTTATTTGATACAATTACTTTGTACGTAAATTAAACTCGTTCTAAGGCCTCTGCTCCTATTCATCGTAGCGTGATGTTTTATAGCCTATAGCCTTCCTCGATAAATGCACTATCCAACACTAAAAGAATTATTCAATTTAGATCAGTTGTTCCTGAGATTAGGGCGTTCAAATAAACCGGGTGCTTTACTCTTGAATCCAATTCTGATCGATCGACATTGATTGAAAAGGGAATGTTACGCTGGTTTGGACATGTAGAAAGGGTGGATGAAAGTAGAGTAACGAAAGAAGTATACAGAGCGATATGAATGGGGCCGTCGGTAGAGGGCGCCCTAGACGGACATTTTTTTTAATTGGGAAAAATCATCGAATGACTGCTCTCGCCTGGGTGAGTCGGGAGGGAGTGTCAGACTCTTACTGACTAAAATCCACCTCGTTCCTACTCCTGCACTTCGAGCCGGAGTCCCGGTAACCTGTTAGGTTCTCCGCGACTCCGTATCGGCATCAGCCCTATTGGGCCCCATCCGTTAGACGGACTGACCAGATTGGCGATATATTAAAGAAGGGCCAAATTAAAAGTACCCTTAACCGACGAGCTTGCATGAAAAGATTGATGACTGTTGATGAAGCGAAAGAGGTATGTAGGAATCGTAGTAATTGGCGTTCCATAGTCTCTGCCTACCACCATGGGAAACAGACGTGACGTTATGTATGTGTACAACATTGGTATTGTGAAATTTCGTACTCTTGAGTTGCAACACTAGCACCCATTGCATCCGTATTGCTTGGATATTAAATAAACTAAATGGTATTGAGTTTGGCTTTATATTCCGTACTCTGAATGCTATTGTAACAGCTACGATTGTGGTTGTATAGTGTTGACATTGAATAATTATTGAGATTTTATTGGATTGAAATTGCATTGACATTGAGCATGGTTTCAAGAGTAAGCACCCAATTCAGCTTTATAAGGTCGTAAGTGCAAACCCGGGCAAGGGGTCTCGGGTTCGATTCCCGGGTCGGGCAAAGTATAACTGGGTTTTAAAAAAAATCTCAGTGGTAGCACGGAGTCTGAAATTGTACCCGGTATATGGCAATAGGCTCACCCCTTATTACATGGGACTCGTAACATAAACAGTGAAAAGTGGGTGTTAAATTGTACAGTGGCATAATGTGCACCTCTTCCTACCCCTTCGAGGATAAAATGCGTGATGTTATGTTATGTAATTTCTTGTATCCAGAGGCAGCAGCCCATGTGCTAAAACCTGAAGGGGCGCCTGAAGAAGCTGGAGTGCCTGCTGTAGCTGCCGTAGACCCTGAAGTCCAGGGAAATATAGATGAGGTAAGCAATCATCATCATATCATCATCAGCCTATAAATGCCCACTGCTGACCAAAAGGTTTGAGCATTAATCACCTCGCTTGCTCAATGCGGGTTGGCGATTTCAAACTTATAATTAGAAATTATAAGCCCCCTATTACATGGGACTCATAACATAATAGTGAAAACTGGGTGTTACATTGTACAGTGGTATAATGTGCACCTCTGCCTACCCCTTCGAGGATAAAGGCGTGATGTTATGTTAATTATAAGCCCAGGTTTCCTCACGATGTTTTCCTTCACCGTTTGTCAGTGGTGTCTAGATAATCTTAGAAAGTACATATAACTCGGAAAAGGTCACATTGGTACTTGGGTGTTTCTTCAAAATCTTTATTTAACAAATCATTATCCTCCCGCGTTGTTAACCCCTCGAGCGTCCTTATGAGCACCCGGTGGATCATAACAAAAAATGCTCCATGCTGCTTTCTCTTTTATAAAATCTATTATTAATTTTTTGTTTTTATTTTGACTGTATTTATTTCTATTGTAATGATCCTTGTTTTCGTGTGCCAATGGCCAAATAAATGCATTTTATTTCTTTCTCCAAATGTCACGTGTGCACCCGTTGGATCATAAGGAACGCGCACGCTCGACGGGTTAAGAATCACAGTAACTTATTAGCATCTGTATTTTATTGGATTGGGTGAGAGCAGTGATACTGCTCAATTTTTTAAAACTAAACTTTGTATTTTAATCAGCAGGATTGTTAACTTTGGCTTAAGGGTAATGACGCCGTTAATTTTTTGTTTCTTTTGTAGAATCACCCACTTATTTAAGATATATTTTCATTTTGATACCCACATATTGTGTGTATATTAAAATAATGATATTGTCTACTGTTGCATAATGATAAGTATGTATTTGTGTTTATAGAAATAATAATAGAAATAATATGTCCTCCTATAAGAATTATGTATAGAGCTTCGCCTGCGATACACGATTGTCCTAGTGCAAGCATTTAACTTTCTGAGAGCAAATTTACTTATTTAAGATATATTTTGCATTTTTGAGTTATTAATAAATTTAACTTTACTTGCCAGGTTTGGAACCCGCACCCTCCTGTTTTCAGAAAAAGATCCTTTTACAAAGGCCAAAGTCGTGATGATAATATATATTGTTACAGGTATCAGCAGCCATATCGCAGACGTTGAAGAATTTGAACACGAACTCTGAAACACTGAACACACCCTTTTCCGACCAGGACCTAGCCAGTATGTTTAATAACATCACGCTCGGGGAAGGACAGGTATGTATTATGTAGAGAATATCAAGTACAATCCTTGTACATAATGAAATCTCTATTTGCTATACAATACTTTCAATGTATAAAGTAAAAAAAGAATAAGTTTTTAAGTGTGGGAGAGCCATGCTTCGGCACGAATGGGCCGTCTCGACCGCAGTGATACCACGGCCGAGCAGAAACCAGACGTGAAGCAACGCTTACGTTGTTTCGTCATATGAGTGAGGTTACCGGAGGCCAATATTACCCCTCCAATCTCCCCAATCCCTGGATCCCCAATGATCATCAAACTCCTAATCCCCCAAAGGCCGGTAACGCACTTTGTAACGTTTGGTGTTCCAAGTGTCCATGAGCGACGCCGATTGCTTGCCATCAGGGTGATCCGTTTGCTCGATTACAAGCTTATCCAAAAAAAAATGTTGTTCTTTGTTGTTTCACGTCAGTTTTATGTGAGGCCGTGGTATCACTCCGGTCGAGTCAGCCCATTCGTGCCGAAGCATGCCGAAGCTCCCACACCTAAGTTACCTACTTAAGACTTGTTTTAGGGGTGGAAACGACCGTTACTTCCTTGATATAATTCTTCGATCAACAATAACAACTAGATATCGGGTCGGCGCAAGAAAATCGTCTCGACAAAAAAGAGCTCACTTGAAAAGTGAGCTCTTATTTTGTTTAGTACGCTCCAAACATGGCCAACGTAATCACGTCTCACGATGATGCAGTGCGTAATTGCAAGTTGCAAAAATAATAACCGAAAAAGCAGTATAACGGCCGGAGTGACTTACTTTCGATAAGTAAATAAAGTATAAGTTATATTTGAAGCTTTTAAATTAGTAAATAATATCAAATTAGACAAAATTACCAATTATAGACCAACGCCACCAATGTTTGTGCGTGTTTTGGCGATCCCTTGGCCAACACGCGCACAAACATTTGTTTAAACAGAACAGTGGATGCATGGAGTCTATTTGTATTTTAAAACAAATTTGTATTGTAACCTGATTGGAAAAGAGTACTTAACCTATGGAGTTTCTTGTTCGTTCTTCTCCATAGGAATCTACACCTTGGAATGAGCAAATAGCTTCACTTTTAAATTTATATTGTTGACGTTCAAAAGAGCCTTCCTAGTCTAACTGAAATAAATGATTTTGACTTGACTTATTAGGTTGAATTTAAAACCATTTTAAAACATTTTTCTCAGTTTGTTATTTTTTTACTATTATTATTCACACGGACAGAACAGGAGCTTGATTTTGTATGTAACCCTTTATCTAGTTGTTATTGTTGATCGAAGATATAATTAAACAGTTTTATTTACCTTGCCCCGTTTGTTTGTTTGGCTCAAATATACATATGTAGTAGTTGAATTTTCACCCCCTTCCTGGCGACAGATCGATCTGATATTTGGTACACACTCGTAATCTTGATGACCGTACAATATAATCTAATTGTTTCCACAACTACCTCCATTATGGATATCAAACGTAAAGGCTTTATTGGTAGAATAGAGCTCATTAAAACCATTGAACTTAGTTTTTTTTTATAACTTATTATTTCTTCGATTTCAGCAAGAAGGCAACATGTTCGTGCCATTCATGCAGGGTATGATGCAGTCCCTCCTCTCCAAGGAGGTCCTGTATCCCTCCCTGAAAGACCTCGTCGATAAATACCCCACTTGGCTCGCAGAGAACAAGGGGAAAATTGAACAGAGTGAATATGATAGGTAAGATTATTTTTATACTAGCTTCTGTCAGCGGCTTTGTCCGCGTTCGCGTGGAAACAAGTAGCCAATGTGTTATTCTAGATCATAATCTACCTCTGTTTCAAATCTCATCGCGATCCCTTCAGTCGTTTTGACGTGATTGTGTAACAAACATACAGACAAAAACAAACAAACTTTCGCATTTATAATATTAGTAAGATTTACATAACACATAATATCACTTCTTTGATCCCGAACGGGTAGGAGAGGTGCACATTACGGCACTTAATGCCACTGTACAATTTTTTTTTCTTTTTTTTAAAAAAAAACGTTGCCCCACATTTGGATTTTCTCCTGTGTCGTGGGTGCGTTTACAAACATACAAGCTCACATACATATATACCCAGAACCGGAACAACAACCTGCGAATCACACAAAGAGTTGTTCTGTGCGGGAATTGAACCCGCAACACGTTGCACGGCAGCCGGTTGCCCAGCCACCGCACCAACCGTGCAGTCATGTAACACCCACTTTTCACTATTTATGTTATGAGTCCCATGTAATAGGGGGTGAGTGTAATGCCATATACCGGGCACAATTCCAATCCCCGTGCTACTACTGAGAATTTAAAAACCCAGTAATACTTTTCCCGACCCGTTGCACTTACGACCATTCAGCCAACGAGGTAGTATTAGTAACATTTATTCTAACTTCACGCTACTTCCAGATTTGAAAAGCAGCAGAAGCTAATGGAGCAGGTGTGTGCTGAACTGGAACCGGAGCAGGAGTCAGACCCTGACGACGTCAAGAGAAAGAGGTTCGAAGTCGTACTCGATCTGATGCAGAAGGTAAGTTAAACTTAAAAATATACAAGGTGTAGTTCTGAAGCCGTGTCATTTCTCGGGGACATGTCACAGACGTCATAAAGGATCAATGTAAGAGAAAGTATCGGGCCAATAGTTAAAAATACGGCTATAATAAATCGTTTAAGTTGAACAGTATTTCAGAAAAAGCGACAGCAATGCTTCTTATTGGAGTTTTATGGAATTAGGAATAATATTAAACTGTCAAACACCGCGAGGACACCGGTGACCGCAACCTATTGTTCTTTAATTGTGTCTATAATGATGGTACTCAACGAGTTAATTACGTGTTTGAGTTTGTGTGTGTTAAGCCGCGTTATAAAGCTAGTTACAAGACGGCGGCGTGTAGTTCACACTTACGATTTCCGTAATTTACAGAAAAATGAAAAATATTTACCTACCATTTTTTTTATTGATTCGTACGCAGAATCGATATCCGAGTTACCTCCTAGAAAATAACGCGGCTTTGAAACAACACCTTGTATATTTCACCATCAACAGCCTATAAGTGAGCAAAGCCTCTTCACAATACTAATACACAATATTTCTAAAGGCACCAAAAGTCAAAACATTTATTTCAATCAAACCATATTTTGGTACTTTTGAATGTCAAACCCACTTAAAAATATCACTTTTATTTAGAGATTAGAATTATATACTTATTTTCATGGATTATAATGTTCTTAGTATCACTGGGGATTTGTAAACTGTTCACTTGTAACGTCTACTGCCTCGTTGGCCGAGTGGTCGCAAGTGCGACTGCTGGGCAAGGGGTCTCGGGTTCGATTCCCGGGTCGAGCAAAGTATTACTGGATTTAAAAAAAAGTGAGTCTCCAGGTTTTAGCTTATAAGCATGCTAACCAACTTAAAAAAAAGGTTGAATTCGAGTTTTCCTTTAACGTACCTATATTTGTTATTTCTTCCTTCCACAGATGCAAGACCTAGGGCAACCACCCACTGAGCTAGTAGGAGACATGGGCCCCCCACAGGGGTTCGCTTCCCCGGCCGTGCCAGACGCGGCGCAGTGCAGCATCATGTAGTAAAACACGTAATTGGTAACATCACAATGAACTAATCAATTAAATTACAATTATATTAACCCTTTGAAAATTGTTGTAAATCATCCCCTAAATTTGTTAAAACAATAGTAGTCTCTATACATTGGAAATAAGGTCTATAATGTAGTCAGTGGAGAGCGGTCACCAGGGACCGCTTGGGGATATATATGGGTTAATACGCATTTTTTGAAACTGTATCGAAATTACATGTATTTCAAAAGATGGCTAAGTAAAGGAAACATTTAAAAACAAATTTTAAAATGTAAATCAGAATGTGTATCGGAATTTCGATCCCTAACACTTAATACTAAGTGAAGATGTATCAGAAATACGGATTATGGATCGGATTTTCGATACAGATTGTAGAGCTCGAAAAACATAGCATTTACTTTTTTAAACTGTCTCGAGTTGTCGCAAATGTAGATTTTCCCGAGTCGGGCAAAGGATTATTGAGGTTATTGGTAATTTCTCAGTAGTAGCACGGAGTCTAGAATTATACAATACTAGCTTTTACCCGCGGCTTCCCTCGCGTCACAAAAGGATAAAAAGTAGCCCACGTGACATATACGAATACACACAGCGCCATCTATACCAATACTTTTGTTTTCCCTCGGGAATATCAAATTTTTCCGGGATAAAAAGTACCCTATTATTTAATCCGGACTTCTAACTTTACGTCTGCAAAAATTCAAAGCAATCGGTTTAGTAGTTACGGCGTGAAGGCGGAACAAACAAACTCATTTTCCGATTTATAATATTAGTAAGGATGGCAATAGACTCACATGGGACTCATAACTGGAGAAAATTTTCGCGACTTTGTGCAATTTTGTAAGTACTTGATTAGTTCGATGTACTGTTAATGCCTTACCTTAGCTCGTAGAAAATCATTATACAATATAGTAGCATTGTAATATATAGAATTTTTAAATAAAATAAAATTTTTTTGATTGTTTCAATCAACAAGGATGTAGCGAGGTTGACTGTCCAGGCGACACACGTACTTAGGTATCGTCATGAGCTAATGTTCACATGTAAACAGCAGCTCATGTAGTGTAGATGTCCAGTCAACAAGGATTTATTTCAATCTATTAACATATTTATGAGTGTCTGCTAATATCTTTAGAAACAGTATTGATGTTAGTTTTTATTTTTATTTTAAATTAAAAGATTGAAAATACATATTGTATGTATATTTTTCAAATTAAAAGACAATTTATGTTGAAATAAGTGTTCTATCTTAAAACTTATAATTATTATATAATTGCTAGCTTCTGCCAGCGGCTTCGTCCGCGTTCCACGGTTGAAAACTATCCTATGTGTTATATCAGATTATAATATTCTATGTTGATATAATAACTATCGCGAGACATACTAAATTAACTAAATATCGCGGGTTACTCACGTGAATACACTGAGAATAACTCTACTAGTCTCGAACCACAGAGGGGTTCAGTATGCTGCGTGAAATCGGTGGTTCGAAACTAATAGAGCTCAGAGTATTCACGTGAGTAATCCGCGATTTTTAGTTAATATAATTATCTATCTCTATTCCAAATTTCATTGAAATATGTTCAATAATTTTTGCGTAATTGTGCCCGGTATATGGCAATAGACTCACCCCCTATTACATGGGACTCATAACATAAATAGTGAAAAGTTGGTTTTCTGTATTATATCAAATGGTTTTTAAGATACAACACTTATTATTTGACTTATATAATTGTATATATTATATACTCATTAAATTCCTAAAAAACTTGATTTTGTCGATCGTTAACAGTAGTATACAGAAACTACAGAGCGCCACCTACTACGCTCCTTACATACTTCTTTAGCTTCCATCACATTCATACATCTGATGGTATACAGAAACTACAGAGCGCCACCTACTACGCTCCTTACATACTTCTTTAGCTTCCATCGCATTCATACACCGATCGACAAAATTAAGTTTTTTGAAACAACCAAAAATTCATTTTTAAATACTTTAACCCACAATAGTTTTTAAAATGTATGAAGATATGTATGAATTATATAAAATTGAAAAAAACTTATGCATTTTTATACTGTATGTAGGATTTTAAATAATTGGGTGACAAATTTTAACATTATCTCAAAATATTATTAGTATTTTGAGAAAAATATCGAAATTTTGAATCGGCTCTTTAAGTGCCAAAACATTTAATTTAACATATAGTAATGATCGCCTGTACTTTGGCAAGTACCAATGTGACTTTTCCGAGTTATATGTACTTTCTAAGATTATTTAGACACCACTGGCAAACGGTGAAGGAAAACATAGTGAGGAAACCTGGGCTTATAATTTCTAATTATAAGTTTGAAATCGCCAACCCGCATTGAGCAAGCGTGGTGATTAATGCTCAAACCTTCTTCGTGTGAGTAGAGGCCTTTGCTCAGCTGTACCCACTTATAGGCTGTTGATGTGATGTGAATGATTATCTACTTCATTGATCGACTGGTTATAAGTTCGACTGTCGAGCTATAGGTATCTGCTTCGATTCCTAGTCCACTAATTATTACATAACTCGATTTTGGAATTTCTCTATTAAATTGAGTCTTAAATCATGTCTAAAGTTTGACTCTAGGATCGTAATAATCTTAATTGAAGCCTAAAGTCGTTTTTATTGTCAAAATCTTTACTATGTGTTAAATTAAGTTATTAGAAAAAGCTTTTAGTTATATTTTGAAAAGAACGATAAATTATGTAAATGGTTTGGATATGCCTAACATTGGTTACGGCGGCTGAGACCAGAAGCTATAGCCAAATGCCATTTAGCGCTTGTCTACATGTAGAGTAGAAAACCAAATTATATGGAATTGACGTAAATGTTGACACTTGTCAGTGTCATCCCCATACATTTAGTTTTCTACTCTCTCTGTAGACAAGCGCTAAAGTGGCGTTTGGCTAAAGGCACAGAATGGAGGCTACCCTTTTTCTGGTCATTAAATGGTGCAAATGTATTAGTGCCGGCACGAATCTTCAACGCTCAGAGTCATAGTGGTGATCGCTTTGCGCATTCCATACATTAGCGAGCCAATCATCGTCGTTTTAGCGAGCGCCGGAAACGAATCACGAGTGACGTCTATGACGTGGTAGCGCGGCGAACCAATCACTGACTTTCCCTGCGTCCGCATCTCACTTCATAGTACTAAATAAGTCCGATATTTGACTTCTGCGCAAGTGAAGGTCAGCGCTAAAGATCCATGCCGGCACTTGTATCATGAAGTATTTTTGTCCAATAAGAGCAGCTGTCAAATATGGAACGTCCAATGTGACACTACCCTATTGGACGAACGAGAGGCGCACACTAGCGCAATCTAGTGATCAAAAATACAAGTGCCTCCATTAGGCACTAAATATCCCAACCAAATATGGATGGTGGCTAAATTACTATTATGTTAATCAAAATAAATAAAAATGTGTATTTCACAATATGCAAACATGACTATCGTTAACGAAGTCAAGGTTCAAACCTCACCGGCAGTTATTTTTGAAAAATTCTCAATGATAGTACAGATTCCGGGATTATACGGTGTTGGTATAATAAAGAAAATATGTCTAACGAGAATTTGGTTCCTAATAAAGCAGTATAGAAGTAAAAAGCATAATTTTTGTTATTCTATTAATTTTTAGTCTCATTTAAACAGATTTTTTTAATTTTCTGTTAAGTAGGGTAGTATTCTAAATTTTATTTTAATGTCTATCTTGTAGATTATTTTAAAACATTAGACACGTATTTTTTCTTTTCTCACAAAATTAAATACTTTCGACGATATATTGATTTGAAATATCGTGCGACGTCACGATTTACTTCATTTTACAGCGTGACGTACGAACCTCCCACTCCTAAACTTGACTCTGACAATAGGGTAGACGACTAATTTTTATTTTAATGTCCGTCTGATAGATTATTTAAAAACATTAGACACGTATTTTTTATTTTCTCACAGAAACGAATAGTTTCGAAGATATATTGATTTGAAATGTCGCGTGACGTCACTTCTCAGTACATTTTATACTAAGAAATGACGTTTTAGCCCCCACTCCTAAACTTTGATTCGTTTTATCTAAGTATTGTTTTATTATACGACAAAATAAAAAAATACGTGTCTAATATTTTTTTATTACCTAACTTACGGACTAATTATATTTTTAATTTTCATACCCTGTCATCATCCCCATTGTACTGACAATACCAATAAACTCACCTTCAAACACACGCCACACTAGACGAGTTACAAGTACGTTGGCTTGTCCGGTGTTTTCATGGTTGTATCTACTGTAGATCCTGGCTTACAGGAGTTGCAGCGGTTGTGATAGGCTGCGGTAGGCTTGTTCCATAAAAAAAACCAGTCTAAAAGTGGCTGACAAGTTTTTTGCCCGTCGGTATTACAAGCTGGTCAGAGATCGGTTTTAATAATAATCTGGGGGCTTACTCTTGAATCCAATTCCGATCGATCGACATTGGTATTGTAAAATTTCGTCCTCTTGAGTTGCAACACTAGCGCCCATTGCATCCGTATCGCGTGGATATTGAATGAACTAAATGGTATTGAGTTTGGCTTTATATTCCGTACTCTGAATGCTATTGTAACACCTACGATTGTGGTTGTATAGTGTTGCCATTGAATTATTATTGTGATGTTATTTGAATTGAAATTAAATTGATATTGGGTTTGGTTCCTGGTTTCGTACTATATGCTTAATACTTCTATACTGAAATTTATATAATTTTGCACAAAAACTGTTATTATTTGTAAGAGCTCTGCTTACCTCGTGTAAGAATATAATGATTTGTGTATTTATTGTTTGATTATTTATTGTTTCTTAGTGATTAAAACCTTGAGTTATTATTTTTGTGTTTTTATTTCTTATCACCATGGACTATGAGCCTCCCCTACAGAAGAGGGATTTGTCAGTCTCCGCAGGCAGGTGGGTTGGAGATCGCTGTATAAAAGGTTCAGGTTTATCAGGGAGCGCTGCTGCCCGGTCTCTGTCAAATGTGCAATCCCTTACAGCCAGTTTCAATAACCTATCTATCTGTAGATTTGCTTACTAGAGATAAAATTTTGACATAAGCTAGCAAAAGTGTCAACATTCTATCTCTAGTAAGCAAATCTGAAGATAGATAGGTTATTGAAATTGGACGTTAGTCGGGTATATGACACCCGCGGGAAGAATAGGGGTGGTGATAAATGTATCTACAAGATATCTTAGATACTGTCTACTGAGCTTATTGGATAAATATTTACCTACTTGGCTCACATCCATCTCGGTACAAATTCCCATTAAAATCAGTTCAATAGATCATACTTATAAAAAAAATACAAACAAATAATATTTAATACTAAATTTATTTCGTTAAATATCGGGAGTAAAATAATTGTAAAAAATCACTTCTATTATCGTATTTTGAAAAACCCACTTCGAAAATTTTATTTGAACAGTGAGTCGGCTACAGTGAAATAATAAAAAGTATTTAGCATTAATTGGAAACCAATCACTACAATTCTAATTGGTAAATATTTAATCAAAACATACATTGTTCGCGGCCTACTTACAATCAAGTAGATAATTTCGTTGTACCAAAAACGCGGCAACACCAACATATTATATTTCAAACTGGCAACCCCGTATCGCATCCAAAGCTAACAACTTTTTATTATTTATTCATTAAGGCAACACTTCTGTTTTAAATCGATACTTTTTTTAATATTGCGCAAAAATAATTTTTATTTCAAAGATAAATACTACTTAATGAAATACTCTAAAGAATACTATCTTGGCAAGCGTCAAAAAACGCTCAACTGTAGTACTTGCGCTAAATTGCGCTACTTGCGCTAAATTGCGCTACTTGCGCAAACATGTCCCTTAGCCAATCAGCGTAGAGAAATATTCTTTAAAACTCAGTAAGTTTGCGCAAAATGTCTAACGGTCTTAGGCGTTGCCTAAATCCATATCAAACTCAATTTATAAGAGCGTTGGTCTTTTATGAATGTCCTCCTGGAATGGGGGGAGCCCAAAATATTCGGGTCTGAAGTCCTGTAGTGATTTCAAAACTAGGGTAGCCTTGCGGTATTGGTGCGGCGGTATATGCTTCGGTGGTGTCATGACAACCTGTTGAATAAACGGATCAATAAAATTAAGTAATTGTTTTGTGTACTTGTGCGACAGCCAGGCAAGGGGTCTCGGGTTCGATTCCCGAGTCGGGCAAAGTATAACTGGGTTTTTAAAAAATTGTCAGTATTAGTCTAGAATTGTGCCCGGTATATGACAATAGGCTTAACCCCTATACCACGCATAACATAAATAGTGAAAAGTGGGTGTTACATTTTACAGTGGCATAATGTGCACCTCTGATATTGACACCTGGAATATTTCTTTTCATTATATCCACCCAAACGTTGTCTGGTAGAAATCACTGTAAGTGATAAGACCGCCTTTGTGCCCATTATTATTTTTATTTATATTTGTCAATTCCTTTTCTGTATGATTGTACTGTATTATTAATGGTGTACAATAAAGTTATATTCTATTCTCTGCCTACCCCTTCGGGGATAAAAGACGTGACATTATGTAATTGTTTTAAAACAATGTTGGTTATTTTAGAAATGAGTACCTGCATCCCAGCTGCAAGTCCTGCCTCCAGGCCACACACTGAATCTTCGAATACGAGGCACTGAAATGAAATAAAAAACATACAAGCTTGCGGCGCCGCAACGCAAAGTGCTGATTTTAGCGTTGCGGCGACGCAACGCGGTTATGTGTTTCGGCCCTTATACCTTGACAGTCCTCTGTCTACGCCTTTAACTCGTCGAGTACCGGTTTTATAGACACAATTAAAGAACAATGGGTCGCGGTCACCGGTGACCGCTTGACAGTTTAAGGACTAAAATGCTTAATGATAGATACCTTCACCGGCTTCGGTTTATCAGGAAACTTGGCCGCAGCCATCAGGTAGATGTCAGGGTGTGGCTTCCCGCGGTCCACTTCAGGATCGCCGGCACAAACCTGAACAAATAAACTTAGCTACATGCTCCCGCTTCTAAGTACGGGTTCGAAACATGACAAGCATCATTGATATGTCATCTAAGATATGTCAGTAGGTACCTATTTAGACATCATTAGTATACGGTGAAGGAAAACATCGTGAGGAAACCTGAACTTATAATTTCTATTTATAAAGGCAAGGATGCACTTTTATTTTTAAGGGGGGAATATCATCGAATGATTTCTCCCGCCTGGGTGTGGCGGGAGGGAGTGTCAGACTCTTACTGACTAAAAACCACCCCGTTCCTTCTCCTGCACTTCGAGCCAGAGCCCCGGTAACCCGTTATGTTCTCCGCGGCACTGAATCGGTATCAGCCCTATTGGGCCCATCCGAGGTGGTCTGATGGCTGCAAGGACGCACTAGGAGACAAATATCGCTTAACATGTCGCCGATACATGTCGTGGCTTGTCCCCTGGTGTAACCTTGGCTGAAGTATGAAATCGTCAACCCGCATTGAGCAAGCATGGTGAATAATGATCAACCTTCTTTGAGGCCTTTGTTCAGCAGTGGGCAGTAATATGCTGATGATCATGTGACATAACACTAGCAGAGCTTTCCTCAGTTCACGCAAGTTATTTTTTTATGGGATAACCTTGTCAACGAGCATACGGATCACCTGATGGTAAGCAATCGGCGCCGCCCATGGATTTTTGGAGATTAGGAGTTTGAAGATAGTTGGGCACTCAGGGATTGGGGAGATTCGGGTTGGGGGGGGGGGGGGTTAATGGGGACTCCGATAACCTTACTCACACGACGAGACACAACGCAAGCGTCACGTCGCTTTTCTGCTCTTTGGTGGTATCACTCCGGTCGAGACGGCCCATTCGTGCCGAAGCATGGCTCTCCCACACTTAAAATCTTTATTAATTTCGGTTGTCTCACAAGAACTTACCATGTGATGGAACATAGCGAATAGTTTAGGCTTAGCATGGATGTGGAGGCGTACAGACTGTCGCGTCGAGTTTGTAGCTAAAGCGAACAAAATGCCACTGGCGCGGAGATGCTTCAGCAGTCTTTCAGCCCCTGAAATAATAAACAATCTTACTATCTTATACTATTATATAAAGCGGAAGAGTTTGTTTGTTTGTTTGTTTGAACGCGCTAATCTCCGAAACTACTGGTCCGATTTGAAAAATTCTTTCTGAGGTGGATAGCCCATTTATCGAGGAAGGCTATAGGCTATAAAACGTTACGCTACGTGTGTCTGTCTGTATGTTTGTTACTGAATCATATCAAAACGGCTGAAGGGATCGGGATGAAACTTGGGACAGGTGTGGACTGTGGCCTGGAATAACACATAGGCTACTTTTTACCATAGGAACGCGTACGAAGTCGCGGGCAGAAACTAGTTCCTATGGTATATTTTTCAATGGGACAAACCCACCGCAACCTCCCAAAACCGCTTCAACTCCTGTAAGCCAGGATCTACAGTAGATATAACCATGCAAGCACCGGAACACTGAAGTCCGGTGCATCCCAGAGACGTTTTGTTTATCGGATAAGAACAACCTTCTTCTGTAGGGCTCGTACACAAAACTGCGATGCGACGTCGCATCGCAAATATGTGCGAGCTCCCTCTACGCATCGCAAGAACTTGCGAATTGATTCGCATCGCGCATCAGAATCTTATCTTCCCAAAATCTTCTTTGTTTCTTTTTCCTGTATCTCCTAAGCAATAACAGAAGTACACACTTCTTTTTACAATCCATGTCACGACCTAGTTTTCAATTTAAAATACGTTTAATACGGTTGACGGTCGACGAAGGAATGGTCGCCCTGGGAGACGCATTGTCGCACGAAATCGCATTGCAGCAATTCGCAACTTAATGTTTTGCGAATGCGCATCGCATTGCAGTTTTGTGTACGAGCCCTTAAGAAGTCGATTAAAAAAATATGTTATAGCTACCTTTGGTCAATGGAGCTAGAGGCAGCTTTACCCGACACAGCTCTCGTAGTTCAGACTCCAACTGATCTGCTGTGCAATTCATGTGCAGGTCCTTCACCAAACCTGTGCAGATCTCTTGGTCCGTACCTCCCGTGTACTGAAATGTGAGGACAAGATTAAATTCCCAACATACTTAGGTACATATGTTACCTAGATAAGATACTATCGAAATATTCAAAGTGTCGCGACGCATGCCACATGTCAACGGATGACGTCACAAGAATCCTACATCGCACATGCAAAGTTTACAAGCGAATAAACACGCATAGAAAATCCCAACGAACAACTGTTGGGCAGAAAGCCCGCCAGGCACGATCACCTCGCCTGGTCGGAGGATCCTCCTTTTCCGATCTTAGGGAACTATACTCTCTGTTCCCTAAAAAAGTAATTTATTTGTCTGATACAATGGAGATCGATCGATCGGTCGATCTGATATAAGTGTGGGAGAGCCATGCTTCGGCACGAATGGGCCGGCTCGATCGGAGTGATACCACGGCCTCACAGCAAACCGACGTGAAACAACGCTTGCGTTGTGTTTCGTCGTGTGAGTGAGGTTACCGGCCGCCCAATTACCTAGTCTCCCGAATCCCCGAATCCTCCACAATCCTCAAATTCCCAATTCCCAAAAGGCTGGTAACGCACTTGTAACGCCTTGGTGTTTTGGGTGTCCATGGGCGGCGCCGATTGCTTACCATCAGGTGATCCGTCTGCTCGTTTACCGGCTTATGCTATAAAAAAATGGAATCTGAAATCCACGAATCAGACTATCTACGGATATTACAGATTTGATTTCTGCACAGAATAATTATTCATATGACTCACAAATTGTTTGTCAGTACGTCCCGATGCAATTTGAATTCGCTACGCAGAAAATTACGACACGAATTGCTGCGATGCGATTTCGTGCGACAAGGCGTCTCCCAGGTGACCATTCCTTCGACGACCGTCAACCGTACTAAACGTATTCTAAACTGTCAAACACCGCGAGGACATCGATGACCGCAACCTATTGTTCTTTATATATTATCTAATTATCTGATTAATATTGTCTATCAAATTTAATATAATAATTTTACCAAGGTTTAATAAATTAATGTAGGTAATAATTAAGTTATATTCTATAATGTAAGGTGATGACTTGACGTATTTTTATTGTAATGATTTTGTAGATAATATTTTGAGACTAGTAGAATAATCCAAATAACATAAACTATTGTCCACCTTATAGGTATGTTACTATGATAATATTATTATAATATATATAACATCTATTGTCAACATGTAACAAACAATAAATGAATTTGAATTTAATTGTGTCTATAATGATGGTACTCAAAGGGTAAAATTGAAAACTGCCTCAATGTTAGACAGTTAGTGTAATTCTTAAGAAATAAAGAATTTTGAATTTTGAATATTGAAAACTAGGTCGTGACATGGATCGTAAAAAGAAGTGTGCACTTCTGTTATTGCTTAGGAGATACAGGAAAAAGAAACAAAGAAGATTTTGGGAAGATAAGATTTTGATGCGGTGCCATGAAGAGATAGGGATGAAATTTGAAAAGGGGGTAGATTAGGCTGCTTTTTATTCCACAGGAGCGTTCCTGTAGAATAAAAACTAGCGGGCGAAGCCGCTACCAGAAGATAGACAAAAATGAAAAAAAGAGAAATCGATTCAGACTCACTTTTGCTTCTAAATCCGGCGTGTACTTCTTGCCATGTCTAGCACAGATCTCCTTCAGCATCACAGCATACTGTGACTCCGAATCTGCGGCCAAAATTTATAGGTTAAAGCTGGAGCTGCGACCAACCAAATAGGTTACCAAAGGTTCGGCTCTGTGCAGAAGTGGGAACGGGGTGGTTTTTAGTCAGTAAGAGTCTGACACTCCCTCACGCTTCACCCAGGGCGGATGAAGTCATTGGATGACTTGCTCCCTCTAACAAAACTACCATCGCGTTTACACGTAAGAGACTTGAGTGTAGTGGAGTGATACCACAGCCTTACAGAAAACTGGCGTGAAAGAACGGTGGTACGAAGTCAGTGGTGTTACCGGAGGATCCGCAAAAGGCCGGCAAAGTACGTGTATCTTCTTTGGTGTTGCGAGTGTCCATGGGTGGCGCTGATTGCTTACCATCAGCCGATCTGTCAGCTCGTTTGCCGTGGTCGATGTTTGGTCATCGATTTGTGGCAATATTAATTTAAAGTTGATAAGTAATTAAGTCGTAAATTCGAATTTAATATTATAAGATAACATAACAACACGCCTTTTATCCCTGAAGGAGTAGGCAGAGGTGCACATTATGCCACTGTACAATGTAACACCCACTTTTCACTACTTATGTTATGAGTCCCATGTAATAGGGGGTGAGTGTAATGCCATATACCGGGCACAATTCTAGACTCCGTGCTACTAGTGAGAATTTTTTAAAAACCCTTTAATATTTTACCCGACCCGGGAATCGAACCTGAGACCCCTTGCCCGGCAGTTGCACTTGCGACCACTCGGCCAACGAGGCAGTAATCCTTACTAATATTATAAATCCGGAAAGTGAGTTTGTTTGTTTGTTTGTTCCGCTTTTACGCCGTAACTACTTAACCGATTGCTTTGAATTTTTGCAGAAGTCCGGATTAAATAATAGGGTACTTTTTATCTCGGAAAAAATTTATATTCCCGAGGTAAAACTAAAGTATTGGTATAGATGACGCTGTGTGTATTGGTACATGTCACATAGGCTACTTTTTATCCTTTTGTGACGCGAGCGAAGACGCGGGTAAAAGCTAGTAAGATAATAAGTAAATACTTAAATATATTATAGTAAGTATCTGTAAGACTTATGTACACTGTCGTATTGGAATAGTCTGTAATGGTAGTTGTTAGCATTAATTAAATAATTCCCAGACTAAAGAATAAATAGGAAGCAACATGAGCATAGTTAAAATAATCGTGAAACCCAAATTGGCCTACATAATGGACTGTAGAGTACAAATAATGAATTTTTAAAATATACAGTTTTAAAATCAAACCTTCAAGGTCTTACATAGACTTCCTAAGATTGTCTAGCTAGTATTTTTTACGTAACATACACATAATACATACAGGTCATGTACATCACATAACAGAATACAGGTCAAAAATTTGTAGGTGGTAGTATCGTCATGAGCTAATGTTCGCATGTAAACAGCAGCTCATGTAGTGTAGATGTCCAGTCGACAAGGATGTAGCGAGGTTGACTGTCCAGGCGACACACGTATACTAAGGTATCGTCATGCGCAAATGTTCACATGTAAACAGCAGCTCATGTAGTGTAGATGTCCAGTCAACAAGGATGTAGCGAGGTTGACTGTCCAGGCGACACACGTACTTAGGTATCGTCATGAGCTAATGTTCACATGTAAAAACAGCAGCTCATGTAGTGTAGATGTCCAGTCAACAAGGATGTAGCGAGGTTGACTGTCCAGGCGACACACGTACTTAGGTATCGTCATGAGCTAATGTTCACATGTAAACAGCAGCTCATGTAGTGTAGATGTCCAGTCAACAAGGATGTAGCGAGGTTGACTGTCCAGGCGACACACGTACTTAGGTATCGTCATGAGCTAATGTTCACATGTAAACAGCAGCTCATGTAGTGTAGATGTCCAGTCAACAAGGATGACTAATTTCTTATTTATGTTTTCTTACTTACCGATAAGGGTGCCGTCCATGTCAAATACGCAATGGGTTACTTTTTTAAAGTTCCTCGCCCGATGTGAAGACCTGGCCGACTGTAGAGGAAATAATTGCCTCTGGCAGTCAAAAATCCTTGTGCCCAAAAACGGTACATCGTTGCAACGGTAACGCAAAGAATATAATTTCGACGAAATTTTTGCTAAAAAAAAACTTTACGTTTACATAAAAAAAAATATGATTTTAAAAAGTCACTTTTAAATTTTAACACTTTTGTGACTCTTTCTAATGAGAGATTTTAAATAAAAATGGTTTTTTTAAAACAAAAATTTGTTTGTATACAGTTAATGCACTTGCGAAAAATTTTCACGTGAATTTTTTTTGATGGTTTTGGTAATTATTTTCGAACTGTCACATTTGAAAGCAGTTGTCAGTTATGTGTACCAATTTATGGTTATTTTAACGAGATTTTTCTAAATTGTTAAAGCACTATGATTATTTCGAAATCACTAACTAGGATAGGACGTTATAACCTATTTTTTTTTAAATCATCGAATGACTTCTCCCGTTAACTAAAAATCGCGGGTTACTCACGTGAATATACTGAGTAAAGCTCTACTAGTTTCGAACCACAGAGGGGTAGTCTACGCTGTAAAGAAGGCTGCGCGACATCGCCGCGACCGCGCACGCTGCTCATGAGGAAGAACCCCTCTGTGGTTCGAAACTAGTAGAGCTTTTCTCAGTCTATTCACGTGAAAAACCCGCGATTTTTAGTTAATTTAGTATGTCTCACGATAGTTATTATAAAGACTTCTCCCGTCTTGGGTGAGGCGGGATAATGTCAGACTCTTACTGACTAAACACCACCCCGTTCCTACTCCTGCTTCGGAGACGGAGCCCCGGTAACCAGCAATATATCACACAGCTTCAGATCGGGACACGGACATAAGTTAATCCTCTGTTCAGGGGCGTAGCTACTGCCGTATCTGCCGTATCAATTAAACGGGGCCCCCGGGTCACAGGGGCCCCCAACGTGCGTAAGCAAAAATTAATAAAAATTACCCAACTTTTTATTTTAGAAATCACAAAAGTCAAAGTATGAATTATTTTTATAAAAGGATATTTAGGGCCCCGCAAACATTTTTTATACGAGGCTCGCTACGCCACTGCCTCTGTTCTTCTTCATATCTCAAAGTGATTAGTTGAGTACAAAGAAGTATACATACATACTTAACTTCACGCTTGTCTCCCATGGGGGTAGGGGTAGGCATGGGAGACAGGCGAGTATACTCTTCATGTAACACCTCTAGCGTCGCGAGTGTCCATGGGCGGCGCCGATTGCTTGCCATCAGGTGATCAGTCTGCTCGTTTACTGGCTTATCGTAAAAAAGCATGAAAAGGTAACATACTTAAGGACTTTCGCATTTACCTATAATTATTAGTTGGATTAAAAATTAATATTGAACCACAGATAACGTTTTTTCCAAAAAGTTCTATGTTGTACTGTACGGAAGACGTAAACACATCAAGTTATACGAAACCAATATACCATGGTCCCGCTTTGTACGATCTCGCCGCATATTCAACGGTCAGTTTATACTGGTTTCTTTTAGCTTGATCTTTGCCATGTATACCTACCTTAATTATCACGTTTTTAAATTAATTTATTTAAGAATAATTTTCGCGTAAAACACGTGTGAGGGTCACCTAACAGACATTTCGACCAAACGCCCTAAAGGTTAAGTGAATGTTAAAACATACATAAACTGACAAAATTAGAGGCACATCAAAGAAATTGGTAACTATTGTGTAGTTTCAAGGGTTTCAAAATTAAAAATCTAATTAGTCCGTCAGTTAGATAATGAAACAATATTAGACACGTGTACTTTTTTATTTTGTCGTATTAAGTTGCAATACTTAGATAAAATGGCGCTAACTTTAGGAGTGGGAGGTCGTTACGTCATAACGTGCTACAAAATGTGACACGCTGTGACGTCACACGATATTTCAGATTAATATATCGTATAAAGTATTTAATTTTGTTAGGAAAGAAAAAAAACGTGTGTAAAGTTTTAAATTACTACGTAGTACTATGAAACTAAAACTACCCTATTGACAATGATATATATATAATACGTCATTGCCTATTGACAATTTCGTCTAAAATACACTTGGTTTTTTTTACTTTTTTAATGGGACAAGCCCGCCACAACCTCCCAAAACCGCTGCAACTCCTGTAAGCCAGGATCTACACTAGATACAACCATGAAAACACCGGAACACTGAACTGAACTGAACTGAACACTGGGGTTTTTATACTATCTATATCTTTACATATTTAAAATCGCAGAAAAGTCAAAACTGTACATTGAATATTTTTTTAAAAAGAATAGGTAACTACTTAGAGCGTGGTCTACAATCGATACCGAAGCCAAAAATATGATTTGTAGAATTTTTGTTTGTTTCTCTGTACGTATGTCCTGGATGATCTCGAAAAGTACCGCATGGATTTACTTCAAATTTTGCATGAATATTACTAATAAGTTGGGTCAACATATAGGATACATATTATCACGCTATAATCTACGGAGGAGGAGCCCTATTCTAAGTACTGAATCAATTCTGACGGCATTCGTTACCGTAGAATATCTCTTGATATCCTTACTAATATTATAAATCTGAAAGTGAGTTTGTTTGTTTGTTTGTTTGTTTGTTCCACCTTCACGACGTAACTACTGAACCGATTGCTTTGAAATTTTGCAGAGGTAAAGTTAGTAGTCTGGATTAAATAATAGGGTACTTTTTATCCCGGAAAAATTTGATATGCCTGAGGGAAAACCAAAGTATTGATATAGATGGCGCTGTGTGTATTGGTATATGTCACATAGGCTACTTTTTATCCTTTTAAAAGGGTAAAAGCTAGTAGACTAATAATTCAAAAGCATAAATTCTGCCCGAAGTCATTATTCTACGGCCACCGCGGGCCACAGGTTTATTTATATAAGTACTAGCTTTTATCCGCGGCTTCGCTCGCGTCACAAAAGGATGAAAAGTAGCCTATGTGACATATACCAATACACACAGCGCCATCTATACTAATACTTTTGTTTTCCCTCGGGAATATAAAATTTTTCCGGGATAAAAAGTACCCTATTATTTAATCCGGACTTCTAACTTTACTTCTGCAAAAATTCAAAGTAATCGGTTAAGTAGATACGGCGTGAAAGCGGAACAAACAAACAAACAAACAAACTCACTTTCCGATTTATAATATTAGTAAGGATTATTATTAGTAGTTTATTTATATAAGTATTTATATAAGTCAAAAAAAGTCACATTCCCTAGTTCAAGTAACTTTCTAAGATTATCTAGTCATCACTATCAACAGAAACCTGTAAACCTATAAAAGAACCTATATTTCAAGTGTGGGAGAGCTATGCTTCGGCACGAATGGGCCGGCTCGACCGGAGTGATAAGTACCACGACCTCACAGAAAACAGACATGAAACAACGCTTGTGTTGTGTTTCGTCGTGTGAGTATAATGTAGTCAGTAAATTCTACATTTTACAGTGGCATTAAGTGGCATAATGTGCACATCTGTCTACCGCTTTGGAAATAAAAGGCGTGATATTAATTACAAAACTGAATATTTTGTCTGAACGCACTAATCTAAGAAACTACTCGTTCGAATTTAATAAATTATTGTTGTTATGTACGTGTGTACCTACTTTCGAAATAGTCGCAATCACGTCATTTATTTTTAAAATAGTCACAATGGCAGAAAGTCCAATTACAGTAACTGATATATTTACATGTACCATGTCAGTATGTACCTAACGTAAAAATAGATTACCTTCTATTGTTAATAAACAATTTTAAACCAGTCATCATTGATGTCCAAAAGTTAATTTCTAACATAACATAACATCACGCCTTTTATGTAGTAGGCAGAGATGCACATTGCGACACTTAATGCCGCTGTACAATGTAACACCCACTTTTCATTATTTATGTTATGAGTCCCATGTAATAGGGGGTGAGCCTATTGCCATATACCGGGCAGAGATCCAACAGTCCGTGGTAGGTACTACAGAGATTTTGTAAAAAAAACCCAGTAATACACTGCCCGACCCGGGAATCGAACCCGAGACCATTTGTCTGGCATTCGCACTTGCGACCACTCGACAAACGAGGCAGTTGTTTGAAAGTGTCTGTGTATATTTATTTATGTTTTTTCTAGTATGTACTGTATGTTATCATTATACACACATCATTATGTTTTTGCGTAGGTAGACTGTGTTAAATTGGAAAAAATACATGTTTTTTTAAATAAAATTAGGTAATTTGAAATTAGAATTCCTAGTCTAACTAACATTATTTTGATTTCAATGGCGAGTACTGCAGAACGACAATGGGGTAGACGACTAATTTTTATTTTAATGTCCGTCTGGTAGATTATTTAAAAACATTAGACACGTATTTTTTCTTTTCTCACAGAAACGAATAGTTTCGAAGATATATTGATTTGAAATGTCGCGTGACGTCACTTCTCAGTACATTTTATACTAAGGAATGACGTTTTAGCCCCCACTCCTAAACTTTGATTCGTTTTATCTAAGTATTGTTTTATTATACGACAAAATAAAAAAATACGTGTCTAATATTTTTTCATTACCTAACTTACGGACTAATTAGATTTTTAATTTTCATACCCTGTCATCATCCCCATTCCATAAGTAAAGACCTCATGAATAGAAATGAATCTGCTAATTTAATTGATCACCTTTTTCTATTCGATAGTGAATCACCTACTCCTTGTGTATTTTGAAACCTAAAACTCGGAAAACAACGTCTATTTTTCAATGAAAATTTAAGCTCTAATCCATAGGCCTAGAAGTAAGGAAATTACTAGTACTTATTATGTTATTCACACACCAGGAATCAAATACATTAGCCTCGACATTAGCTTACGTAATTATAATTAGGTTTAAAAAAAATATATCACTGAAATTGGTTCAGGAAATAGGAAGTCGTTGA